CAGTTCGATAAACATTTTTGATGATTTTTTCTTTTATATCAAATCTTGTTCAACTCGTTCGAATCCACCCCCCCCCCCCCTCCTACGAAGTAGACGGAATCAAACAATTACTGAAATTACATTACGGAAAATCAATTAACGACTGGAGGCTTAACAATATGAAGCCCAACACAATTTCCAGTTATATGTGGGTGGTTTTTTTATACTACATTTTCGAAGTAGACTCTCTAAAACCGAATTACGCTATATAAATACGGTATGTGTAATCTGTTATTGTAACTATTGACGCCATATATAGTAGCTAAAATATCACAGAATATTTAATTATTAATTGTTACCACCAATTGATGACGCGAGAATTATAATTTTCTGTATAAGAGTTTATAACAAATTTAATTGTATTTACATATTTGTATTAACCAATAGTTTTAGCGTATCACTTCACGTACCATAATACCCTAAAACTAGCTATAAATTAGACTAGATAGCCCTAGAGTAGTTTTGTGCAAAATGTTAACAATAACAACATCGTCTGTGATTCTAGTTTGAGCTAATACAAGGGCTAAGAGTAGGTTTTATGCTGTGAGCTGGTTTTATAAGTTACGTAATAAACTAATATCTTAGAATATAGATGGCAGCTGATGTCAGAAAGAACTGCTGTTTTCAAGCTACGGTACATATATAATGCAAAGCTTAAGAGTGTCACATATTTTGTTTCGAAACCTCGCAGTATTAAAATTATAAGATAAACATTTCACATTTAACAAGGATTTAGAAAAACTGCAGCCACCTAGACTTTTGTTTGTGTTTTGTTCGTATAGGTGTCCATTAGTTGCACGAAAGTTAAAAAAAGAAATGTAGAAAAACTATTTACTATGCAGTAATCTAAATATAACTTTTCGTTAAAAATTAAGTTCTTGTTTTTGCTAAGACACACACACACACATATATAATGTTACGTCTCTGTATGTTTGTTTGTTAATTCTTCTAAGATACAAGTCCTTTCTTTATAAAACTTGTTTATT